CTGAAATTCAAATCCTGGTAAAAATGTCAATCGTATCACTCAATCGCTTACATTTCGATAGCACGTTGAAATAGTTAAAATATGATGCGTTCTGCAAGTTATGACACCAATTACACAGTGAAATTCACTTTATTCGTTCCGCAGTTTTGCTTCGTTAACCTGAAAGTGAACTGTCTTTAATATGAAATATATGAATCTGTTCTGGAAAGAACTTTGATCGTTAAAGTATTTCACCGTGTAACACCTTATATTCAAATTATGACTCCAAGAACGAATTTATGTGACACGTGCCAACATTTTCGGAACGGCTTACTGTATATGCTCGTAAGGAGGAAGCAGCAAAAGATTTATTGAAGAACATTAGTTAAGGCTAAATTAGAAGAAACTACTACAACAAAAATACGAAATTAGCAGAACGACAAAGAAAATTGGTAGATGATAAATACGCTGTAACAAAAGATAAAGCCGATTATTGTAGCATTGACGCTACTCATTGCAGTTACGATTGAGCACAAAATGTTCATGTTCCCCCATTCTGATCAACAGATAAGTAAGATTTATTATCTTAGTCCGCGTAAAGTGCATTTATTTGGTATTCAAGATAAAGCAGTACGTGAACAAATTAATTACGCTCTCGATAAAGACAAAGTTATCGGCAAAGGTCCTAATGGTACGTATTCGATGGAATAAAGAGTTTGAATAAAGGCGAAAAACATCTAAAGATTACTTGTGACAAACGCGAATGGGCAGAATAAAAATAATTATACCATTTGATTTTACCTGTATTTAGTAATTTGCGGTTATTATAAAAGTATTGAACTTAATTTTATGATACCTGGACATACTAAGTTCAAATGCAATGGTAGCTTTGGATTGATTAAGAAACTTTACAAAAAAGCAACGGTAGATTGTGTGGATCATATTGTTGAAATTGTGAAAAAATCGAGTACGACTAGATTAAGTAAAGCTTAGTGTTATGACAACGGAAATGGTTTCGTGTTGGAGATTCTTTTTAAAAAATTAAATAGGTTGCAAAAATATCAGCATTTTCTTTTTGAAGCAGCCAATCCTGGAATCGTCAAAGCTCAAATGGTTGCTAATGGTGCATATACTGAATTTAATTTATTGAAAACTAGAAAAATAAGTGTGTTTCTGAAGTTACAAAAGAAATTAAATCCTTTTCAATTCTAGTACTAACCTCTTGCCTTTTGTAATCCAAAGGAGAAGAGTATCTTTACCATAATATTCGCCCATTTGTTAGAGACAAATTTAAATACATTACTTGCCCACAACCAATATATTTTTTATAATGTAATATTATATTTAAAGACGTAACCGTTTCTTATGACAAATAGAGAATACGAAAACAAGAATGACGACAGGAACTATGTTTATTGCACTCTCAAGCGATTCCCGATTTAGCCAGTCAAGATTCTCGGAATCCCATATAAATACTATGGGTAGTGGGAAACTGATAAACCCGACCCCGTTTTTATTAAACGGCTTATAAACAAGACTATGGCCATATTATTAAAAGTTCCAACTCAACTGAACCAAATAGTTTGTATTTTACTCAAGATTTAAAGTCACTAAATTATTAACAATGAAAAGTTATTAGTAGGAAATTAATTTATCTTAACCTCATATATTTCACAGTTTTCATACCTGCAACCGAATCAAAGTCGTAACTATTCCATGATTTAGGCAATTCACATGTAGTAGTAGGTAAAATCGTACTAGAGTATTTCTTCTCCTTTTCAAGACGCGATAACGGTACTACATCATTGTGGAAAATGGTATTCCATCCACTGCTGTCAGAATCATCCTCGTCTGCTTCCTTTTCAATTTTAAAAAATTCAGCCCAAAGTTCCAATCCATTATTCGGACGCTTGCTAGGATCGGCATCACAGCACTTTTCAGCGAGTTCCTTATATGCCTTTGGGGCTGAATCGGGCATTGTTGGTCGCAATCCACCCAGAATATCGTATGCTAAATGGATATCAAACGATCTATCTCTAAAGGGTGGTTCGCCACTAGCAATCAAATACATGATAATACCGAAAGCATATATGTCTGAGTTTGGAGTAAATTTGCAAGTATGAAAAACTTCTGGTGCGATAAAAGGCAAAACACCTTGGACAGTCGAATGTGACTCTGATGTCTCTGATCGAGAGAGACCAAGATCACAGATAAATGGTTCAGCAGACGTATTTCCATCTAAAACTATATTCCCACCATGAAGATCACAATGCACTAATCCCTGTAAATGAACACTAGACAGAGTATATGCAATATCTTTTAAAAACCGTAATTTCATTTTCCATGTCAATTTGTTAATATTTCGACCCAAGTAAGACAAAAGATCTCCATTGCTAGCATATTGCATTACAATCAGAAATTCTTTTGTCTCTGGTTGCTCTGTGACTCCATAAACTTTAAGGAAGCCAGTGTTGTTATTCGTATCTTGACACTTGACATGATTCCTGAACTGTTAATTTACGAAATGACAATGGTTAAATCAAAATATTTTTGCGATAAAAAAGCACTTTGAAATTGCTTACCTCGGAAATAAACAAGTCCGGCGTTTGATCATAGTTCTTAAAGCTTTTGAGTACAACCCGTTCACATTCGTTGCTGTTACATGCGGTTGTTCTATGTCTCGCGGTATAAACTGTTCCATAACCGCCTGATCCGATCTCTTTAATTTCATTAAAATCGGTATACTGCATAAACTTTACATCCTTCCTAATTTGCATAAATCTATCCAGTACTCCATGTACGTCGCTGAAAAATATCAAATAATAATCCAGAGTTGATAATTCTTGCGTGATACCAATAATCCAGATATTATTTGGAGTTATTATCTCCGGGTAATCCTTGACAAGCTATTTCGAGTAAAAGCAAAATAGTTAGTGATAAATCGCACAACACATCAATAACAATACTATAATTATTCTTATTACTGGTATGTACCCCATAAAAATCAAATGTTTGAGCGTCCTGTCCATTAACAATCTTCTGGAGTATCACTTGTACTAGTATGTTTGTTATTGGTTCTAGTAAATCCGCCATATGTGTGCCTCCATGGTGTAATAACGTCGCCTCTTGTATATTTGTCAATCGAGAATAATCAATCCATTGTAAATAATCATCCTCTATAGCACGTGTATTACTCCATGATTTCATTATAAGCGAGTCCAGGGAATTATTGCCAGTACTCCAATCGAGAGATCTTGGTGCTTTACAGGCATAACAAAACGCATTCATACTAGATACTAATAGTCGCGTACATGCTAGACACAGTCCATCTCCATAGCCTTCTTTGATTAGATAATATTTTTGTTCTCTTGTATTATAAGTAAACCCGATTGTAATCCAAACGTCTGCGATAAGATAATCCTCACGTAACTGGAGAAATCATTTTTATACAAGTCAATAATTACTCAAGTGACTAACAGACACAATATTAATATATTTATAGTTGTTTTTACCATATCATAATACAAATCATCCGTCTCATCTGTTATGTCAAGTGAAATCAATTCAACATTACAATACGTAGGTAGACCATTTAAGTGTACGTATTTGCCATCGTCTCCAAACTCGATACAATCGAATGGAACCCATTCCAAATAGGGCTCATTTGCCGATTTTGTTTGCAATTGCGTATCCTTGATGAACTTGTCCAGTTTCGCATTGTTGCTAGTCCATTTATCAGATATTTCTTTACACCCACAAATACACCACACGGGACTACATCTGAGTATTCCACATTCAGAACAATACTCATATCGAGAATAACTATAGTGAAAATCTCTTTTGGCTACCAAATAATAGTTATCTTCAGATTTGGTAAATCCAATTATCATTTTATCACGATTCTCAAGCCAGTTGGGATATCTTCTAAACTGGCTGTTAACCGGTGAATCTCGGCTATGCTTGTATGCTGGGAGTGAGTACGTTCTCGCAATTTCACTTACAAGCGCCGGCGTACATTGTTCATCGTTACCAAGTAACAGCAGCATGGCCTCACAATCGTCGTCTAACATCCGTGCATTGTAAATGGTTTGGTCAGTAACGTTGTGGTTTGGCTCTAAATCAGTGAATTCTGAATAAGAGACCCATTTAAGGCGAACTTTATCATCGCTTAATGAGGATTGAATCAAGTCGTCGATTGCCTTATATCCTGACATTATTCAGAAGGGGTAAGGTCAGGGCAGGAACTACTTAAATAAACAGTAGGCTGCGCTTTTGTGTCACATCCTCCATTCCGGAAAATCCGTTGGAATTTTAATTGTTAGTGGATTACATAAAAATAACGAGCGCATATATGCTCAATAGACTCTAAAAACAAGATGGAATTTATAAATGCTTAGAATTGTAGAATGCAAGATGAGATGATGCTTACCTAAGAACATACGTAAATGCATTGCACATGCAAGTTGGGATAATAAAGAATTTTTTATGGTTAGTGCACGGATAGTAGTGTGCTGTATACTAAAAATTGTATCAGTACCCATTTTAATGAACTGGTCACGAGACAATATAGCAATAGCATTCAAATTGGTTAAGAAAACTACTAAAATTGCAGGTACAAATAAAAAGATTTGCAGCTCGCGCATTTTGTGTTTGTGTTTTATCCAAGATTCTGACCACTTAAATGGAAAGATTAACACTTGCTATTTGAATCTAGATCATGATTATTTCTTGGTTTGTCCAATACTCTATCTTGACTTCTTTGCTGAATCGAAAATTACGTTACAATAACACGTTCATTTGAAATCATTTCTGAACTATAAAATTACGTTGGACCACTAGTCTTATTGACATAAACTATAGTTTATTGACATACCCGCCTACGTCGATCAAGTCAATACATTGTTATGCACAGTCATTACTCTATTAGGAAAGTTGGATTTTTTAATGTGCACCTTGTAGACCAAATCGGGAAAGACTTCAATCAATATTAAATTAACCATTCACGTTGTTGACAAACAGAAATGTCATCAATTTTCAATTCGCTCCTTAGGATAGGTGATAGATCGAAAACGCCAATAAAACAAAACACCTTTGTGTGTCCCGCACTCGACGAGCTCATTCAATCCACTAAAACGCTTGACAATGGAGAGCCTACATTGCAAGGCTACCGTCTTAAATGGATCCCTTACACTGATTTTACAGAACCGAAACAAATTCGGGATCATGCATTTCAGACACCCGCCAGCGACGCAATGTACAAGCCGAAAGGCAATGTGGTGATGCTGCTACTAGTCGGAAATGCCAAGAAATGTACGCCAGAATTTATACGAGAATTTGCCAGGATATACTCGCTTCCCGTTCACAAGCACGACAACCCGCCCAACATCGATCGGTTCAAAAGATACCCCGAATGGCTCAGGGAACGCAACAAGAATAAACATATATTGGGATTCACCAGAGACGACAATGACAAGTATTATCTGGTAATCAGTAAAGAGTTTAGTTGCTATTATTCCTCGTATGGATTCTGCTCCGCATGTGGGATACTGCGATCTAGTCCGGTCTGGTGTATTTGCGGGCACAAGGAATTGTCCAACGGTTGGACTAGCAAGAACAAGCAGCTTGACGAGTTTATCAAGAAATCGCAACGACAAACAAAATCGCCAAACGAGGCCTACTTGGAATGGTTTTCATCTGATCAGCTTACTATCGGACCCTCTTATGCAAGGAGTAAAAGAGGAAATTATGTCCGAATCAGGGGACCCAGTAAGATGAGTAGTAGTAACTTTAGCAGTACTCCGACAATGTCGTTAACTCCAATTGTCGATATTGAGATTCCGGAAAAATTGTCTGCGAGGATAAAGGACGATTTGCCTACTTGGCACGATGCGATGCTGATACCGCTTGATGGAATATCAAATCAAACTAGCGATTCATATTATGATGAGGTAAAAGGATTTCAGTGGATGCTTTCGTATACAGTATGTAAAAAAAAACTAGCGCGGTTTATTCACAATCTGGTTTAATCATTACTTCCCTACTTTCCTATTTAGCTATGCGATGAACATCCAGATTTACTAAACCCTGACGCTTGGATCACTATCGGGTTTACATATCACCCAAGGTGGGGAAAGTATGCTCTGATAAAAAGTTCATACGAGCACGGACTATGTCTGGCATGCGGAGACTGTTTGGACAGCATCATAAGTGCATTCTGTTATCGCTGTAAAGCGCCAAGACCTCCCGATTGGACTACTGGAAACAAGTCTCTGGATTCGTTTATAATGAAATCGTGGAGCATGATTGAGAGAAAAGTCGATGGCTATATTCAATGGATTGACTTTGCTCGATTGAAAAAGATGCAAGAAGCGCCTCTGTTAGATCATGGATGCACGCATGCGGCCACTTTGAGAGATGAGTTGCAATCAATAAGTGTGGTGCTCAAAAAGATAGTCGATGGAGAGAATGCTCAGTCGTTTGATTTTTATCAGGTAACGATAGTGATTACTGCACCAAGCCAAGATATATGCAACAACTTGTGCCGTGCCGATTAATATTAATTGTGATATTTGTACTTTTTTTTTTCTTTTTCTTTCAACAAATATAGTTGACGAAAGATTACCCAAAGATGTTAACTCCGGAGAATATCTGGGTTATAGGTGTCACCCAAGATCCATCTACGCGAGATTATTACTTGGTGTTTTATCAAGACATACGACCACTTTTAGACCAAATGATGCGAATTATCAATATGGACCACGATAGAGAGGCGGCATTGAAATTTATGCAGTACGACGAATTCGACGAAATCAAAGAGATTGGATCTGGTGGTTACGGGACAGTTTATACCGCCAATTGTGCGAGTCTAAAAGAGCGTGTTGCTTTGAAATGTTTCAAAAGTTTTGATCAAATGGCAGAACTATTTATTTCCGAGGTAATTATAAAGTTTAAGGCTTTTTGCTAATTCTCACGAAATTTTATCTAACAGTTTGCGCTTCTTCTTTTTTTTTTTTTTTTTTTTTTTTTTTTTTTTTACTAGTTCAAAAACCATTCGTTATGTTCCACAAAGTACACATTCCTCAAAATCTATGGAATCACACACGAACCAGAGACGAAAGAGTACATGATTGTGATGCAATACGCCAATGATGGTAATCTTTTATCTTACCTGAACAACAATATCAACAAGCTGACGTGGGAGATGAAACTGGTCCATTTGAGGAACATTGCCTATCGTCTGTACATTATGCACGATAAAGGATTAATGCATTGCGATCTTCATGGTGGAAACATAGTTTTGAACAACGAGCCCACCTCTTCATCGAGCATGACGTTCATATGCGATCTCGGACTTTCCAAATCAGTAAACTCGTCTACTTCAGACTCTTCTATCCAAGGCGTTTTGCCATACATTGCACCGGAACTATTCCACACTCGCAAATTTACTCAAGAGTCGGATATCTATTCCTTCGGTATCCTCGCTTATCTGATTGCAAGTGGCGAACCACCTTATAGGAATAGATCGTTCGATGAGACTTTGGCTAAACAGATAATTAGTGGCCTGCGGCCAGTGATGCCTGATTCGACGCCAGAGCCTTATAGAAAAGTCGCCGAGATGTGTTGTGATGCTGATCCCAGCAAGCGTCCAAGCGCAAAGGATCTTTACAATCATATCGGTGAGCTTATATCAGAAGCAAGCAAAGATAAGCCCGAGAACGCCGTGTGGGATATTATTCATTACAAAGCTGATATAAAACCATTATCACGTGACGAGAAGCTCACCAAGTACTCGAGTAGACTGTTACCTACGATATTTTTCACCAAGACAAATATTTATTCAGTTGGAGGTAGTTGTAAAGATAACTATAATTTTACGTTTATACTAATATGCAGGCCCACAAATATTAATCCTTCTGTACGTTACTAATACTAGATTCTAGGCAAGTCAACACTGTGATTCAGGAGGAATTTATGAACGGAGGTATTAAAGCTAATTTATATAATGGCATAATATATGATTGAAGACAGTTAATTGACTTTTTATTTATGCAGATTCGAAACAAACTATACTGGCTCTTCCCGACGACATTCCTATTTGAACCACGTTAATCAACAATTTATTTGCGCAGTTAATTTGTAATTTGACGGAAGCGGGAATCATGGCGGCTTGATAGTAACAGCTGTTAAGATTAGCTGCTGCTGAAGGGGACTGGTTAAATAATCTTTAATAGCGGCATTTATAAATCAAAGACTTTTGTATTATGGAAATTCGGCTGCAATCGGGCTGTGACTATCACTATGAAAAAAACCGGGGCCGAACAAAAAGTGTGACTGTAAGTAAATGTGACTGTAGGGTTGTATTACTATAAAAACATTATAAAATTTTCGCTAGATGAGTCAATAAATTAATGTTAGTTTGTGCCATGTATGGCGATTAATTTTAAAGTAAATTGTTTATGTGTAATAAATTTACAACTACCGTTGTATTAATAAACGGAGCGGCAATATTAATATGTCCGAGGAAAACGATGTTTTTGGTTGACAATGTGATAATATTTGAAGACTCGCTTTATTATATCAAAACAAACAAACTATATTCTTTTTTCTAATAAATAAAAACCGTTCTAGACGTAGGTGTGTAGCTTACCAATTTGAGTCATTGAAAATGCAAATGGATAGTTGAAACGTCTTTCCAAAAGTAAACACAATGCTGAGACAAAAGCAGAGGTCCAACCAGTAATCGTGGATTGGCCTTTCAACCCATTAAAAGTTCAGAGTGTGGGAAGAATAGAATTCATCTCATTCGTATTTTTAATTAATCAATACGTGACATTATTAATGCTACACAATACAATTATTATTATAAAGCATTAATAAACAAGACCTGATAATTCTTGATGCTGTCTGGACGACCAACATCACGTCAGAATATCCAAGTTTGCTAGCCCAGTTGGGTTAAAGAGAGCTGTGACAAACTGCATTTGATAATTGATCTACTAATATCTCTTTAATTAATGTCTGTGTAAGGTTTATTAGCCAAGTGTAATTAATTCTTGTCGATGAAATAGAAATTGGTTTAAAATATATCAATATATTCCATCATCCTAATAAAAACAAATACTGTTTGCTCTCTTACTGCTTCACAAGAGATGCGATCTATTTTTTTGTTTAAATTCGTGCATAAGACTGTGAGAATATTACATGTGAAATAATAAATATATTTGTAATACATAATTTGCCAAGTATTGTATACAAGTATTTATATGAAAATTTAATTACATAAATTTAATTACGTGAAATTAATCACAATTTATACACACAGACAGGCTGTTACTGCCAGGTTGAGTTTCTTGCGATCAACCGCCGATCTGCACACACCATACAACACACAACACACAACACACAACACACAACACATGGCGCTGTTTATCATTGTGTATTTGATTGGTTCATTAGTTGAGAAACCCATTTTGATTGAAATAATACTATCCGACAATATTGTTTATATTGGTAACCAAACAATATGCACAATTTAACTTTCTAGGTTTCATTGATTTTTTGTACTTTGTTACAAATGACAACATAACTGCACGTGATATGGCTCAATAACCAATCAGTGCAATCTTCTTATCATTTGCGTTGAGATCGTTAGTATTAGATCAACCAACAAGCTTGCTTAAATTATCTCTGCTTGATATTAAGCCGACTGAAATTGCAGTGTCAATAGACACACTTTACTACCTCCTCCAACACAAAATATTGTTATGTTAGTATTAGTGAATGCACTTGTAAAGTGCCCAGAGTCGAGCTCCAACTGTAGACCATAATTAACAAAGATTCCCTGTTATAAAAGCCGACCATTGAACACGCGAATAAGTTTATTTTGTTTACATGCAATACAAAGGGCCATGTCATGAAGGGTAAATATTTCTGCACTATCCGCCCCGTCGTCAGACAAGAAAACAAATCGATATGAAATATCGCTTTAAACAGTTAGAGGGATTGTATATTTTAATTGCACTAGTCTACAAAAGTTGTAGTAGTGTCTACAAAACATATTAGATGGAGGAGACGGTCGGTCAATGTGAACAAATTGGATTGCAGTATTGTACGGCGGTGTATTCGTGAAAGATAAGAGAGCAACCATATGCAACACATATAGTAAAGTGTATGATTAATAATATGGACTGGAACAGTTGAAACGTTTTGCTTATTTGTTTGGAACCCAGTACCTGCTAATTTAAAATATGCCTTTTATGGTAGTGTTCCATGCTCTGCTTTTATCGGTTAAAAAAAACCAAGTTGATTCTTTGCGTAGTTTATTACCATGTGATGCTTCGGTAGTAGAAGTAGTATTAGCTCGTATTTTGCCGAGATGAAAATTCCTCATGGTTACACTTTAACTTGTACAAGCATTCAGACTCTCCGTTAACGTTACGTTAATAACCATTAGACCCCAAAACAGTCAATAAGATAGTGGGGGATTATCAAAATGATTATCATCAGGAGGTTGTTCAAATTAGGAACGACGACAATAGTAACCATTTTTTGTGTCTATGATACAAATTGTAACAATACACAATTTACTGTTGTGTCTTTAGTATAGTAGATCTCATGTATGCAGCGTTGATCGTACAAACCCAAATATTTGGACGCTTAATGTGTCACGATTGGCGGATAAAAACTTTTCGCTTAAATTAAACGGGCCATGGGCCAAAACATAGCACGTTCATTGGAGATCACAATAATTCTTAATACCTAATCGATCCATGAACCTATTGGTAAATAAATTATGTTTGGGGGAGAGCAATGATAGATTGATGAAATCAACCTGCCAACTCGTCTACCAATCCAAACACACATATCTCTCTTTTTTTGATCAGATCATTCCATTGTACATCGGGAAAAAAAAAAGTGGGCCGATACATCCGTAGCTGATGTAATTAATAACTAACGCTAACCGGAAAAAAAAAATAGATGCGGTTTGCATACTACGTACAGGCCAGATAGATAGATAAATTAGAGTGCACGAGTCCGTACATGCATATTAAACATGCATATTAAACATGCATTAACCAATACTTTAACTAAGATTATCATGTTTCTTGCACACACAGATCAAAAACTTGCATACAACAAAAATTATTGTCTTGCTATTTTTAATAATTTTCCTGTCTGCCAACTAAGTAAACTCATTGGACAAAATTGGTTTCCCCCATCACCCCCTTCCTCCTCCCCTTTTTATTCCATATTTTTGATAAGGAACGCCAAGGATCTGCATTAATAACCATGAGAGTTATTTTGTGCTTCGGGCGAAATTCCAAAAATGTTACAAAAGAATTCTGGATAAAATGTGTGCGAACACCAATAAGGAAATACGAGATCCCTGTGCGCAATCTATTTCTGATCATTATAAAAAGTCTATTTTTAAGATTCAAATCTTATCTCTTTTTTCTTTGACAGAATTGACACTTATCTAGACTTGTTGACTTTCGATATGAACGATCTGGAAATTGAAACATGTAGTTCCGAATGTCCTGCAATCGACCAATTGATGGCATCTTCCAAAACTCTAGATAACGGGGAGGGAGCACCAGAACATCAATGTCTTGCTTGGATTCCTTACGAGAAACTCACAGACGTGGAATCGATTTCACAACCTGATCAAGTTATCTACTATGCCAGATACAAATATACGCTATACGAAAATTTATGGGACGAGACGGTGGTGTTGCTACCGCTCGGAACCCGAGAGAAATGCACACAAGCGTTCGTCGACCAGCTGGCCAAAACTCACTCGCTTCCAATATACAGATACATAAATTCACCAAACGCCATTAAATTTAAACGATACTCGAAATGGCTCGAAAGTCGTAATAACATGATACGAGGTTTTACCAAATACCAAGATATTTATTACATGGTTGCTGGGAGACCGTTTCATCATTGTTATTTCTTATACGGACTATGTTCCGTTTGTGGAACACTCCGATGCAGTCCCGTGTGGTGCATTTGCGGTCACAAGGAATTGTCAAAGGGATGGACCAGTAACAATACAGCTCTCGACGAGTTTATCAGAAAATCGCAGCGACAAACGAAATCGCCAAATGAAGCCTACTTGGAGTGGGTTCCGTACGATCGGCTTGATATCAGCGTGCGTGATGACGATGGCGAGTCAACAGCAGTTAACGGGTGTGCCGCTAGAAAACCAGACATGTACATTGATGGTGGTCTGCCTATCGCTCAAAGTGTGAAGTTGACTCCGCTTGACATATCGGATAAGATGAACGATCAGTACCTTGATCAGGTAAGAGAAAAAAAAACGACAACTAAAAGTTAAAAATTACCGTTCGTGTTAACAATGATCTGTCTCTTAGTTGTGTGTAGATAAACCCGACATGCTTAATCCCAACGTCTGGAGCCCTATAGGATTCACATACGACACACAATCGCAAAAATATGCTTTAATCAGGCAAACACACGAGACTTTTAAATTATGTCTGGCATGCGTAGCGCAATTTCCTCTCGGTATAAGCGCATTTTGCTACTTTTGTAAGGCATCAAATCCTCCCGATTGGACTTGCGGCAACAAGTCTGTAGACTCGTTCATAGCAAAATCATGGAACAACGTACACTACGTACGGGATAACTATTTGCAGTGGATAGAACCTTGTCATTTGCAAAGCCTAAGAGAAGCTTCTTCATTGGACCATGGATGCACGCATGTGGCAGAGTGGTCACGGCCGTCATCAGATTCGATACCAGTTATGCTCAAGAAAATAGTTGATGAACAAGATGCTCAATCTTTTGATTTTAACAAAGTGAGCTCACTCAAAAAAATACCATAGTATGAAAGTTTTTTTGCATGACTTGTATATAATTCTTGTTGTTACATTGTGTAGTTGATCGAAGAATATCCGACGATATTAACACCGGAAAATGATTGGATAATCGGTATTACCCGGACACAGTCTCCGAAAGACTATTATTTGGTGTTTTATAGCGACATTGGCCAAATCTTGAACAGATTTATGCGCATCTTGAAGTGCACGCGTGACTTGAACTTCATGGACTATAATGATTTTGACGAAATCGAAGA